TATCTTTTAGAAATAAAAAAAATTGCAGCATAGCTTACATATGAGCTGCTTCTTGAGGAGAAAAGGGTGTGTGCAAGATTCTAGATCAATATCCCAAAAACTGGCGGACTAGTTCCGGTCGTAGATTACGTAGATTGTCTTTTATATTTCAACTCACAACTTTATCGTAAAGTTTGATATTTTTGATGTTCTACCTACGCAGAGCATTTTGATATACAAGCGTTATTTGTGTACTTTACAGTAACTTAAAATATTCATCTCAGTCAAAAAAAAAAGGAATTAAATCGCGAAAATTTTTGCGCCATATTTTTCCAACTTTCGACGTGGATTAACTCAGCAACTGTGCATCGATGAACCAAATTCAGTTTTTGGCGATGAAGCTCAATACAGAGTCGATGTTTATCGATGGTATGATGAATTCTAGCTAGGTTGTAAATCACTCCAAGACGAAGCAAATGGTACATAAAACATAAACTAAGAGGTCAACGTTTTTCGACACCTGAAAAGGCGGTTGAAGTGTGCAGAACGCATATTTTGGTGATAACTCAATCAAAGTGGCAAGTGTGCTTCGGCAATTGGTTCAAACGCATGCAAAAGTGTATAGATCTTAACGGAATTTTAAAAACAATAAAGCGATTTTCGATGATTCATATTTGATTTTATTCTATTTTCCCGAAATATAAAAGGCAACACTCGTATACAGTCAGACGTAAAGACCGCCATGGCTAAACCAACTCAGCTCGACACGCTGATCATGCGTATATGGTTTATTTTATAGGATCTGCGATGTTTAAATCTGCATCATCAGCTATTTATCTTATTCGAACGTAATATAGCATAATATAACACAACATAAGGTAGCATGTTATGCTATGCATAACTTAACATAGCTTGGTATAACAGAATATAGCATAACAGAACATATCATAACACAACATAACATAGCATAACATAACATAATATTACATAGCTTAACAGCACGCTGCATAGCGTCTGATTATAAATTAAAAAGGCTATGGATAGAAAATAAAACCAAAATTTCGTAATTTATATAAATCGAAGTTTATTTTAATACTTCGAAAAATCAATTTATGTTCCCTTACAAATATACTTTTTAAAACGATCACTTAGTAAAATTAATTTTTTTCAAATGAAAAACACATTTCATAAGAACCCAAGAAGTCTTCTTCAAAAACGTTCTTTCAAAAACGTGCATACTCGTACATATTAAATCAAACTCTTTTATCATGTGACTATGTCGTATGCTGTTATTTATCCGGCAGCGGTATGCCTAAACATGTAGACGGCAGGCTACGCCATAAGCACAGACTAACGCATTAGGAGCGCTTGATTTCACTTGATAAATGTGCTTCATTTAAACTTAACCATTGTCTCACATAACATTTCACTTAAAACGCTTAGGCGTATAGCCGACGAGTAAAGCCGGTCAGAGATCACGGCGCACCACATATGGGGTGAGCGCGTTGGAGTGGGAAGGTTAAGAATCTGTGTTAAAATGGCCAAGAAGAATCGATGGATAGTTGTATATTATAACATTTATAAGCACACAAAGCCCATACAAACATATACACACACATGCTTATCTGTAAAAGTATGCTTGTGTCCAACTCCATGTGGTTGGGTTTAAGCTAAGTAGTAACAGCAGCTGGTTGAGTAACTCACATGGCCAGAAATAATTTCGTTTGAAAGCAGCAGGCCACCACCACTTCGTAAGCTCGAAGCAAGTTAGTCGGACGTGTTAAATATGTGCATACACATGTGTAAATATATTATATATATGTGTGTGTGTGTGTATTTGCAAATGTTTGTCTGCCTCGTGTGCGTGCATGAGTAGTAAACCGCAATGAGACAAAGTTCACAACATGTACATTGTCAGAATTTGACATTTTAAGGGTGCTAATAGACGCAACAAATGCCAAGTAATTTATGACCGGCTAACTGACAGGCGTTCGCACACATAACATACTTATACAGGCGTATATGGTCAGAGGCTCACACAACTTTTTGGTTATTTATATTCTTTAGTGTCTATTCGAAGTTGTCGAAAAATTACTAGTATAGAACTAGTTTCTTACCTCTTTCAACTCTAGTACTGTCACAATTCTCTTTTTCACACTCTCTCTCGTCAAGTAGTAGGAGTAGAAGTTCGTTACGAGCACTGCTCTTGTTAAACAGAAAATTAGTTCAATTTCGGAATTTTTCAATGAAAGAAGAGCATGACTATGTAGTGGTGTGAACATACTAAAAAAAATCTGAAAGTGTTCTCAGTTGGGTTTTTTGCGGGGCAAGTACTTTTTAAAGTCAGGAGAACCTGTGCTTGTGGTCAAACTATACGTGCCATATTTACTTCTGCGGCTTGTCTTGATATCCACTCTTGGTATGGGATGAAAAGAAAGATAATGGGTTAAGCAATACACATAAATGTTTTTAAGAGAAAATATTTTGTGGAAGATTTAATGAAAATCATCATCACCATTATTTAGTTAGAAGCATAATTTTTTTTCCAAAGGTAAAAGAAGGAATGGAGGAGTTTCAACTAGATATAGGTTAAAACTATCACTACTTTTTTCCAAAATGGTTGGAACGTGTCATGCTTAGGTATTAAAAATGAGAAAGGAAATCGCCAATTTTTTTAAAATTAAAAAACGGCAAATTTGTCAAACTTTTTGAGCATAGAAATTTCGTCAAAATATTAATGAAATCATCCCTTACATATGTACATAAAAACATTTTTGTGGCTTGTGAACAAGAAAATATAATTCGCTTTAGCCATATCCGTTTTTTCATCCATCACTAATTCCTCAGTTTTTAAGCTATCGATCAGAAATTTTACACAAGATCTTTTCCCCACAAGAAGTTGCTCATTTGTCGGAAACACCGATAGCGGACCGCGATAGCATATAACTGCCATACAAACTGATGAACTGAAAAGCATGTCAAAAATTGTTTTTATTTTTCAGGCAGACGCAATTCGTGATTTTTTTTTTTCAAAATTTTCCGTAGTAGCAGACATTGCGACATTATGCTAGATTAATACATACCTATGTGGGGTTTCCGATTGCTAGGATGATTGAAGTCTTGGTTCTGGTCACGTACCGATTTTTGAGACCCCCCACTTTATCAGCTGCTAATTTTTGAAATTTTTTACTACAACAAGAATAATTAATTTTACTATGGTCCATCAGTTACTACTACTATTTATTTACTAAGGTTTACTGAAATATAGTTAGAGATATGTTGACGAAGCTTTGTCTTTAAAAAATGAGCTTATTCAAGTCGGCTTGTTTCGAATATAATGGCTTCATAAACTCCGCTTTATTTTAGTCCGTATATATCGGCCAATATTAGCGGTATCTGCCAGATACCTGATTACATCCATACCAGAGTATCTAACACTCGATTTTGCCCGAAATTAACCTTTCCCTACTTTTTTATTAATTGAAAATAACAAAGCAGAAGATTCTATTACAATTACAATCATTTCACAGGTAATTAAAAATATAATTATTACACTTTTGTAGTAAGTACAAATATTTACTAATAGAACAAAAGTGTGTACTTTAAAATTGTGTGCCAATAAGTAAAATATTACCAAGCACTTAAGTACCATTTGAGCTGATTAAATTTATCAAGTGTAATTTATTACTAGCTTATGTACAATATATATGTATATGTATGTGCTATAAACATATGGATATAAACTCTTTATGTACATAAGTATAGTAAAAGAGACAACCCAAGTAGCAGTCAATTAGCGGAATTCCGTTATTTGCTGGGAAACACAGAAGTTACAAACATGATTTTGTTGACTTCAGATTCGAGTCGCAAAGCTAAGAGCGTCATAAGCGAAAAAGTGACAAGTTGTCTGCACTAAAAAAATAATAGCAAACGTATAATACATTATAGTGTAGCTCTTACCGTTGATGTTATTAATATTGAGCGTGTGAATAAGTATAATGTCTGTTTACCTTAACGAATCTCGAATGATGGCAATACCGAACTAACTAAAAATTATCTTATTCAACACAGCTAATTAATCAGAGCTATGAAAATTTTCACAACCCACGCTAAGAGAAGTGTTAGAACCTTATAGATTTCATCGTTCTTTTGAGAACGAGTATAAAATTGATATTCTATTTACTAAAGAAGAACAGAAGAGTTTGAAATTTCATTGCCGACTCTCATACATAACCCCAAATTTCTCATACCAAAATGTTTGTTATTGTATCCGCTAAGTCTTACTGAAATACCCGTTTTTTATATTCAGAATCGTATCTTCATATCATATATGACATAGAGTGGGTCAAAGGCACTTTATTTTTCAAATGTTGGCAAGAATTCTCCTCCATTTCAAAAAACGTTTTTGAAGTAAAATCGAAAACAAATGACGATTAATGCATTTCACAAAAGAGACTGAAGCTGAAGAGACTATCCCAAAGACAAAGGGTGTGGCACCCGATAGAACGTTTGCTGATGTGGCTCGGAACCGCATTATCATTGGTGTGATGGATGAGAAAGATTCTGAAGGGAAAATTCTCAGAGCTCAATAAAAGTGGATAGAAGCAGCGCTGATAAACGTGGCGCTGGAAGTGCCATTAAGCAAACCGAATCGACCACTGTCATGCTATTAGAAGTAAATGCTTTTAGTAGACTAATCAAATCACATCCCATCCCTAAGCCTCGGTATTATGAAAATTTTTTTGTAAGAAGTAGCAATAAATTTCAAATAGAATTTTTCAGGTTTTCAGCCTACATTCAAGACCTTGTTGTTGCATTGTTATATTCACCGCCTTTCAAGGCAAGCTATGCACGAGAGGAAAAGAGAGAGGTTCTCCGGTTTACAATGATTCAAAGAGATGGACACTTTATCATTGCTTAACTTACATCGTTCTATTTTTCTCTCCTTCATCTATTGTTAAAGTTTCTCTTCGATCAGTTTTTGTCTGAGCCGAAAAGATTTTATTGAAATTTAAGAGTGATTAAAAACTTTATGCACAGTTAATATTTTATTTGAATTTAAGATTAGTAGACATGAAAGAAATAGTTAAATTTGATACAATTAGCAATATTTTTAAATGATTTTAAATAATTTTCGTTTTAATATACATTCCCTACACCTTCACAAACTCCTGTAACTTTTTAAAATTTTTAGAAACGGTTTCTCTTAATAGACTTCAGAAACACTGTTTTTCTTCGTACAAATGTTCATTCATATGTAGATCCGTATTTGGTAGTCGGATGTGTATCGATTTGACAAATGAAATGATGACTATTCTCGCAGAAATCATCATCCCACTTCAAAAAGTGCTCCTGCAATTTCACACAATGTTGAGCGCCCATGAAATTATCGGGTCGACCCATTGCCCAGTTTGTGTAACTAAATTTGGAACCATTATATCCCCAACGGAAGTTTTGCAAGTCGGCCAACTTATTGCCAGATGTCCAGAAGTCATTGCTCTCAAGATCTGCAAAAGAATAAAACTAATACGAAAAAGAGGAAAAAATTATTTTAAAAAAATACTTACTAAAATAATTTATATAGTTTTGCACTTGAAATTGCTCCGACGCCGATTCAATGCTGACCAGCGACCAACCATTTTGCTCGCAGAAAGCATAAGCCGCAAACCAGTTCAGCTGCATAGACCATTAAAGCGCAAACTTGCTGAATATTAAGGACTTTTTCATAATTAAATAGATATACCTTGATCAAGGTGACAATGTATTTGCGCTGCAGAGAAAAGGGTGCGTCATTACTGACAATTAGCTGCTCGGATCTATTTTCTGTGCTCCCGTAATCTTCGTATGTGAAGTCGCCTGTTGAAGACACGCGAGATTCTGCAATTTCTGTATCAACCGCATAATTCTCATTTATATCTTGCGCGTTAACTCTAGCTAATAATAGCAGTGAGATTGCAAGCAACAGAAATATTTTTATTGAAGACTGCATTTTGACGTTTTGCAGTGAAAGGCGGAACTGTGTGTGGTTTAGGAAATTACGGTGCTTTTATAACGAGATCTGCTCCAAACTTCGCTAATAAATTTGAGAAAGTGAGACTATATATATATATATATATATGCATATATACAAATAAAGTTGGTTAAGTTATTGTAACTAGAGCTTATTTTTTACTTAATTTTACCATAAATATTTTTCTTTATGACAATCATAAATAAATAACGGAAAATTCTAATTTTTTCAGATTAGTTGCTGAAAAGTATAAATATTTACATACAATATATGTATGTATGTACATATTTTAAAAATATAGTTTATATGTATTTATGCATGTAAAGACGCTTGAGAAAAACGAAGTTGAAATTAAGTCTAAGCCGCGTTTGAAAATTATTCTTTCCGATAGGGTGATTTTTCTCATTTTAACCACTTCACTGATTTTTGGTGACATACGTATGATGTGAAAAAATGCTCCCAACTTTAAAGATATACTCAAATTAACAGTAAACCCAATTCTGACATATTTATTTATTTACACATAGCTGACATTCAAAAGCAAGTTCATGGGCACCCACGAAGGTGGCGCTTTGTGGAATGCAATCCACTTGAATGCAATGCAAAAAATCGAGCCACAGATGGCGCGCAGCACGCACCCGTCGATAAGGCAGTGTTGTAAACTATAGTTTATTCGACATAAGAAATTGGTGAGGGCAAAATATTTCTACTAAATTTACTTTTAGGCGCGTATGTGCGTGAGCTCAGAACCAGGTCAATAGAAATTACGAACTAAAAAGAAGTAAAATAACAACTTAATATAGTAGAATAAAATAAATTTAATTAAAATAAAATAAACACCGTACAAATAAACAACAAGTAGGTAAGGCTTAAGACCAAATTAAATTTAAAAAACACAAAAACATCAATATTTTTTTTAATTTCAATAGATTATACTCTTAAAAATAACATACTGAACTTTTAAATTGATATCTCAAAACGTTTTTGAGTAACAACCTTCCAAAATGTAGACTTTGTGTTAAAACAGCTTAATCAAGTTATTTTTAAACGCGATTTTCTCAAAACTGAATTTTTCAAAATTCCTTGAATCTCCTTGATTCGGAGACAGATGATTCGTTCACTATCAAAAGTTTTCTGCATTTAATGCAGTTTTCTTTATATAGTGCTCTATACAATGACCTACCAGTTCTTGAACTTGATACAGAATTGAATTTTGGCAGACCAAAATATTGGTAAAATTAAAATTTTGGATAAAACTCAAATTTTGGGAAAACTTTAAAGTTTAGTTAAAATTAAAATTTTGGATAAAATTCAACTTTTATTAAAAATGCCGCCATTTGGCCAATTTTTGATTTAGGTATAAACAATATCTTCTGTTAGTTTAGGCCCTTTCTCCGTTCCCACAACAGTCGGGTCTAAGCAACCGGAACGGACCGGGCTTTTATCCGGCCAAGGACTGTCAACTCGGCACCATTCCGCGAAATTACTTGAGGAATGTTTTCTGCCGCTATAACAACAATATCTTCTAGTAGAGAATTGGTTTTTAGGTTTCATCCACGGAGAAGGCCGGAATCACTGCAGCATTACAATTTTAAAATAATTTATGCAGTAATGTATTTTTAATGCCCAACTGATTTCAAGGATTTCGGCGTATTTAACCTGAAAGAACCCATATTTGAATTCAGAAAGGACGGCTGACTTGGCAATTAACTATCGAAACAACCTTTTCTGAGAGGAATTCTGGATGATAGTTTCCGCATGTTATTATGTTGGCTAACATTTGTTGTGATATCTTTATTACTGCATGAGTTAATAAACAGGTGGGCTGGAAAATGAATTGAGAGAAATCCTCGTTCACTTTCAATGTAACGCCATATTGAAAGCTATAATTGTATATACTTTCACAGAAAACATATTAATTATCTGCCAAAATTCGGAAGTTTTACTTAACAGAAATTGTGCTTATGATATGATCGTGGTTCAAAAATAGATGAAATCCGTTCACATTTCCATTTAATCTAAGTATTTATAATATAAACAAACTCTTGTACCTTCTATGTGAGGTGCCTTAATGAAATTTATACTGAAGTAAAATATAATTTAATGCCAAGAATTAATGGAATCGAGCCAGAACCACTCCTCATTCCTTTACATTCATTATGCATACACTTTAATGGTTTCTAAACGTTCTTCGAAAAATCCTCTTCTCTAATTCAGGAAATGCAATTAGATTGCCAAAAATTTACCGTTTAGTCATTGCGTGCAAAGTTTGGCGAATTGTTAATTTCGAGAAATGTCTCAGACAAATGCACTAAGGGGAAGTGGTTAAATCTGCGATTTAACGCCTTTAAATAATTTTCTCTGAGAGTATGTTAAATCAAAGGTTTACGCCAAACAACCAGTAACGTCCGAGGAGCTTAAAGACAACATTCAGCGCTCTATAGCCGAAATTTCAGCCGAAATGCTGCAGCGGGTCATCGATAATTGGCGTAAATGGGTGGAGCCGTGGTGTCCAGTTGACCGACGTTTTGTTCAAATCATAAATGGCAAAAAATTATCTATATAACAAAAAAAAAAAAATCAACAGAACCTATTTTGACCTATTTTGTGTGTTTTATTTCAATTTACCATCACGCCATTCTTGTTGGTAGACCCTTTACTTCTACAAACAGCATTATGCATTTCACCGCTTACCAAGTGATGTAAATGAAGTAACAAAAACAGTTCCTTAGACGTATTTACCGTTTGGAAGCGCTTTCATTTCATTTTACAATTCATACATTGCATTCTGTATTGTTAGTATTTGCGCAGCAGAAATTAAAATTGATATTAATTAACTAACTTTTTTTGTATTAATGTAAATGGTTGATTATAAAATTTCAAAATATTGTGTGAAAAAGCAACAGATGTTTTGCTCTTTATGATATATGCCCTTTGTTGAGGTATATCATTTTACAATATTTATTCACGTTATGTTACTTATACGTAGTGGCAAACCGATAACGAAACACAGAGCGAGCCTTATAGGACATTTTCTTTTAATATATTTTTTATTTCTTTTTCGTTTTTTTTTTATATGCGAGTATATGTTAACTACAAAACTTCTAAAGCTGAAAACAAATTTGTTTAAATATTTAATTTTACGTTTTGAGTTAGGTATAAAATATTTCCAATATAAGATTTTTCCATATCGTTAAAGTGAGATTGTAATAAGTTTTTATTGTTACTAACATTTTTTATAATTTTATTATGCATTTGCGATTGGTCGCAAATCACTTACTTTGTGACAAGTTGGAAGGTGCTTAGTGGAATAATAATATTTTTAAATATTTAGACACCCCATTCTGCAAAATTTTCGATAAATATGTTCATTTTTGAAACTGTTACCAAAACTCTCCAAACAGGGGATTTATTTAATAATATTTCTATATACCTATAATACAAGATGATAGTTGCATAAGGTATTTGCGCCAATATGTCCCTTTAATCCTTTAAGAGACAGCTAATTGCTTTTGGAAGTTGTACTTGCAATGTATCAAGGTTTCCGTAAAGAAAAAGTTCATCAGTTGTAATTCTGTACCGCGGTTGTGTGTAAACCTGTACCTTTTATAGATATGACCTCCACAAAAAGCTTTCCCACCATTTTTTAAGTCATTGTGCATATAACACTTGATCTGTTTAAAATACTGAAAATTTGTCGGAGTATACTTCCATTTCAGTTCATAAAAATATGGAGTCGGACGAGTTTTTTTCAAAATCTCAATATATTAGCATCAAACTTTCATAGCTTTTAATTACTTTTCAACTACTTCTAAACCAGTTATGCACCAGTTACTCCACATTTTTCTCAATAAACCACATTTTTAATTTTCGATGTATGAAATATTTTTTAGAAATATTTTTAATTACCATAGCTATTTCTACAGCAGCCCTTTAGGTAAGCTATAATGCAGAAACTAACAACAACCAAAACTTTACGGATACGTTGAGGTGATAACCTTGAATCGTGAAATTAAAACTAACAATAACTTATAACAATAAAAAGTTAATAAACACAAACAAAATAATAAAATAACTATCTAGTGTATTATATGCTTGCATTCGCTTGTCAATATTGACATTACGCTTAGTGTGAGATAAAGCGCCTCAATGCGTGAATGAACGCTTTGTGAGTGAGCGACATACCGGTGCTCGTACATATAATTAGCGGTAGAAAACCGGCTGTAAGGCATTAATATCAGAAGCGCACTTTAGCCAAGTTATTACAAAATATAAACAAAAAATTCGCTAGTCAGACCAAAAGCGTTGACACTGACGGTAGTGTTTTGAAGAAGCTAGAGCAAAGCGCGGTTATCATCAAAATGCAAAAACAACAACTGATTTGGTGAGTTTCAATTTCATATTCGTGTTTGTTATTATAACTTAATTAATAATTTATTAATATATTAATTTATCTTATTGTTGTTTTCGTTTGTTTTACAGTGTTTATTTCTCACTGCTTGTTTTGGTTTCGGCCGAAATGGTGGCAAGTCAGATCGTTAGTGCGGGCTTGTGTCCATCCAACATCCAAACTGTGCAAGATTTCGATGCAGAAGCGGTAAGTGCTTAACGAATTTGTATGTATGTATACAAATAAAAGTGGAAAAAATTGTTGGTTTGTAGAAAGTAGAGCGTATTTATTTTAAAATTATCATTTTAATTAGTTTTAAGAAATCAAAATGTATTAGCATAACAGGGTTGCCGTAGTTGAAAAAAAATTAATTAGTTAGTGAAAAGTAACAGCATTGATTTCAAAACAAAAAAATCTTATTTGTAAAGTAGTAAAATATTTGCAATTTTTCAGGGTTGCCATGAAAATTTTAACAAATATTAAAAAGTTATTTTTCTATAAAAATATTCTAAATACTTTATGCTATTAGTAAATAAATATGTAATTGAAAATATTTTTGGAGAATTATAATTTTTAATACTTTTGACAAACATAATAAAATTTTTATTACTCAAATGATAGTTGAAATAAGGCAAAGTAGTTAAACTAGTTGAGTGAAATACAAAATTTAAGTTAATATGCAAAAAAATCATAAATGGATTGCCATATAAAAATTAAAAATTTAGTTAATTTAACATATTTTAATAAATTTTAAAATTTTTTTCTTTCTTTTTAATATAATATCTAAATAAAACCATATAATTAAATATACAGAAATAAAATAAAATAAAAAAATTAAAAAAAAGTTGTTAAGCATATCTTAAGAAATTTTCGAAGTTTTTTCTATATATTCAATAATATAATATTTATTATTAAAAAATTAAAATTTTTACAACAATATTTGCAGTATTTGGGTACATGGTATGAGTACTCCAAGTATCCTTTCATTTTCGAGGCCGGCGGTAGGTGTGTACAGGCTGATTATGGTGCTTTATCTGACGATTCGATTACAGTGCTGAATAGCCAATTATCAATTTTGTAAGTATTTTCGTGTATTAACAGACGATTTCAAATCAGTAAAATATTACATTTATTATTACAGCAATTCAAGATCATCTATTGACGGCGTTGCCAAAATTGTTGGACCAGGCAAACTTTCCGTGCGTTTCAATGGTTTTGCTTGTAAGTCGAGAAAAAGTATTTTGTAAAATTTCTAACCATTTGTATGAATTTTGTTTTTAAATTGTGTAAAAAATTTTAAATTTATAAAAAATTTTGAGATTTAAACATTTTTGAAATTTGTAGTTTTTGTAATTTGTAAAACTTTTTCAATATGTAAATTCTTAAAATTTTTGAAATTATTTAATAAGATTTCAAAAACATTTGATTTTTCAATTTGTAAAATTTTAATATGTTTAAAATTCGTAACACTTTTGAATTTTTGAAAATTCCCAAAATTTGTAAAATTTGTAAATTTTTCAAAATTTTTAAAATTTCAATACAGTCGTTTTTTTTGTAATATATAATAATTTGAATGCACTGTTTGTTTTGCTTTGCAGCTCTTGCTGGATACGCTGACTACTGGGTATTAGGTACTGATTATGAAAATTATGCTGTCGTCTACAGCTGCAAGAATTTAATAGTCGCACATATGGGTAAGTAAAGATGATTAAACAGCAAATTTTATATTAAATGAACGAAATATAAGGAATCTTTACACAAAAAAATAAGAATAATAGTAAAAATTGCCTAAAAAAGAAAACAAAATAAGTGCAGATTTCAAATAAAAAGAATTTAGTTTCATAACTTTTTACATAAAATGCCAAAATTGTTGATTTTTAACCTTTGCCTTTGAATAACTTCTAATAGTGCCAAATTATAGGTTATAATGCTAAAAATTTGGTTAAGTTTAATTATATATTAAAACTAAAAAACAAAAAAAATGATATTGAGTTCATTCGCTATTGCGGCATACTAACAATAATTAAATAACTATAAATTTTTTACGCTTACCTATAGTTAACTGCATTGCATGTGCCATTTCTGACATTTTATTTTTAATTATTTAATCTAGTGTCATTTAATTTAATCTATGGGTCCATATATGCAATGCATGGCACTATGATAGTTGTTGTATAATAATTAAATTTGTTTGTAGTAAAAAGTTATAGAACGCTCATCACTAAATGGACAATAATACTGAGTGTTTTGTACTCAGACGTCACATGTACACACATAGCGACGTACCCACGAATATAATATTTAATTAATCGACGACGCCGATCTTTGCCAACGCGACTCATTTCTAAGCGTTCCACTCTGCGCTTGTTAGTTAAATTAGTTTGTTGTTTTTGTAGTAATATTTTTCATTTACTTTAAGCCGGCGAAAATGTAGTAAAAGCAAAAACAAAAAAAAAAATTACAAAAAAAAACGGCAAAAATCTGTTTACATAAAAATGTGAATAACTCAGTATGATTGAACTCTGGTGTCAGAACCGTAAGCCGGTGCGTCTGACATAACGAACGCGTCTATGTAGGTATGTTAGGGTGGTACAAAAGAGTGTATTAAATTTTTAAAGAAGAACTCTTATTTTTGCATTTAATATTAAATACTTTTAAGCTTTAAATATATATTGTTATGGTTTATTATGTCTTGTGAGAGTGAAGAATACGTTCAATTAAAGAAAAAATTAGCTTTTTATGACCGGCTCATTATATAATAAATATGTTATAATATAATACAAATTTGGATACTAAAAGCATAGTTACTTTTTTTGAATCAAGCTTGACAGCTGGGACAATAAATAAATTTATTTCACAAAAACATTCCGTAAAATTACCACCCTAATATGACTCAAACTTACTGTCGCTAAGAATATTAACAAACAAAATTTTTTTTGAGCTCAAAAGAATAAAAAAACATAAAAATCGTGTAAAATGGTTTATTCAGTCGATAACTAATTGCTTTTCTAAGAATTTTCTAGCAACTTATGTTAACGAATAATGTGTCATCGACATTTAATTCGCATCGTTAATTGCAATTTTTATTACTTTTTTAACAAGTAAGTCAACAATTACAAAATACTGTGTCAACAAGTTCGCCTTGTCTTGCTTGAACTTTAAACTCAGTATAATAATTAACAATTTGGCTTTAAGGTTGCACTTAACTTTTTTTTGGAAAAACTGTACATCATTTTTAAATAATATGATTGTTTGCTTAGGGAAACGGTTAAGACTTATTAATTCTATTTGCTCTATAGCTGCTTTTGTGTCAAGCAATGGTCCAGAGTTGTCAAGTAAATGATATAATTAATTACTTATTTTGTTGTTGTCATAATTTGACTTAAAATTGAAACTGCTGTAAATATTTCCAATACACTTATAATTATTGTTAAATTTTTTAATAAAATACTTTTTTGTATCACCCTAATATTTTTATATACATATATGTACCTATATCAGACAATTTTTAAAGTTAATGTGTCTGATTTCCAAGTTAGAAAATGTATTAGTTTTCGTCTAAATGCATTCATACAAATTGAACCACCCTATTGTTCTTGCATAAATTTTTGAGATATTATCTACGCTTGCTTATAGCACCTGAATAACTTTATTTGCATTATAACATTGGTGCATCACGTTTTTTGATTAAATTTAGAGCAACCCTAACATATATTTACATCTATTGTGCATTTTAAATGTTGTTTAATTATAGTAAACATTTTTCTCCAAGCTTTTTATTACGCACAGTTTGACGTAGCATAAAAATTCTAAACAGTAGTTTCGTTTATTTTCAGACACGTGACATAAATACAGCTAAATTTTATGTTATAAAAGTAATATTAGAATTAGAATTTTTTAAAAATTCCCGCACACTTTGTTGTTGTAAGTGCATTTCAAAGGGTTGTCTCTGTAAAGCATCAGCTTCAACACACGTGATTGAGTAACAACATGAACTGTTGTTGTTTTATATAACTATAAAATTATCAAAATTATAGTATAACAATATACACTTTCGAACACTGATTAGCTTAATCTACATATAATATAAATATAGTTCTATATAATACATTTTACCCAGCAAACCATAAAGTTTTTTTAGTTATAAAACAATTCTTCGTAAAAATAACCTCTAAAATTAAAAAAAAAATTAATTTGTCGAAAACCAAATATCTACATTTTTTCAGAAACCGCATGGATCCTAACGCGCGAGCGCGATCCATCGGAGGATATTATAACAGAAGCTGAGAATATACTTACTTCCCAAAGCGTATCATTGAAACCTTTGATTGTGACCGATCAAACAGGTTGTCGAGCCAAATGAAAATAAGACCGCAACAACCCATAAAATCATTTAAAATATGAACTATCCGAAAGTATGTAAATATTGTATAATACAAATAAAACACTACAAATACTAGCATCAAAACAATTCTCAAAGAATTTATTTATTTAAAAATGTGTTGAAAAATTTGGCAAAACTCAAAATATCTCTGGCAGAAATCTTTCTTAAACATGCTGAGTTTAATACCAACATTCATTGTAACTTGATTACCTATTCAATTATATGATATAATTTTTTTTTAAACAGGTGGTAACATTTCTCAAATATTCTCAAGTTCTTCAAATTCATTATGGACTTTTCATATCAGAAGGAAAGTACTATGTGCCGAACAATGATCCAAAATCCGACATTTTAAATGGTTAATCAACTCTACATTAGCAGTCGCTGTGATATAGCGGCTTAAGCTCCTAACTACCCCTTACAACGATCCGGTTCGATATCACCCTTTAGCAGGCAATAGCATGTTACAGATGAAAATCTGTCATAAAAACGCATTCTAACAGAACACATAAAGGTTTGGGAAAGGTTCAAAATTTAGAGAACCCTTTATATGTCGGATCATACCAAAGAGCATGTGCTGTGCAATGGTTGAAAAAAAGCAGCAAAAGTGTGAGGTCTAATTTTACAAAATATCTTTATAGTTATACGCTAAACTTTTTATTATAAAGTTGTCAACAGTTGGTAGGTAACGTCCACAGAATCTAAGGTCAGCGCTGAAATCTTTTATTATCTAAGTGAATCATTAAAATTTCATTACAACTCCGAACCGAATTAGTTAAAGGAGAAGTTACATATGATATTGTATTAAGTGGAGCTTGCTTTATATAAAACAGAGGTTGAGAAGGCCAAAGCGTTCTTCTTCTTGAAGAGCTTTCGGCGAAAGCGTAGAGGGCTGTCATGAAACATCTTGGTTTAGGCGTAGAGGGCTGTCATGAATCCTCTTGGTTTAGACGTATTCTGGCAAAGAGTCCTACCCAATTGCGGTTTAAGAGAGATGGGGCTGGAAACTGGAATGTAAGTAGTGAGAACGCACTAGGACTACTCTAAATTTTTTTTTTTTTTTTAATATACGTTCAGAGCGCTCTCTATGAAAGTTTTATGAAGCCACTTTATCAACCCAGAAACCAGGATTTTACAAATTGCTTGAGGCGAAGTTCTATAGTTTTGAAAGCGAAAATCAAAGTATCAGAGAATAATTGATATTAAAAAAATTTTATCAATGAAATGTAGCAATTAACGGCACTTCATTATAATTGATGTGTGAGTGCTTACTGGTTTACTTCTGAATTAGGCTTATTATGTGCCATTTTGTCATGTAATTGATTTTTATCACTTATTTAACTGTTAATTTATTATTATTGTTAGAGTGAAAAAATATAAACAATTACTGAAGCTGTGAATGTGCCAAACGTAGCATAACAAAATATTTCTTTGAAGTTTATTTGCACAAACAAAAGCTTTGAGTGAACATATGTAAGTATATACCTACATATAGATTTCAATGCATATATACAATTTTAAAACATAAATATAAATATATATACACATATTTAATTATGTAAAATGAGCATATGCGATGGAAAGCGAGATAGTGTTCAGTGATGGCTTAGCGTTCTTTACAAATTATTTACAAGTATACTATATTTTTTTTTTAGAAATCTTTTTTCATTTCATTTACTATGTGTCAAATAAATAATCAATTCTATTGACGTTACGCCGCCAGTCATTTAAGGCGCATCACTGTTATTGTTGTTGCATTTTATTGGATGTTGCTATAAATTATGCGCGAGTGGTAGGATGAGCTTTCAGTTGATTTCCGGCATTGGCGCGTTCAACTTTGCAATTCTAAACATAATTGACTAGAAAACCAGATTATTGTGTGCAAAAAAAAATTTTAATAAATTTAACGATAACATTTTGAGGATCAACAAATTGAAAATTAAATTGTGTCAAACAGCAATAAAAAAGGATTCATATCGATATTGAACTAAATTATTAATATTGTGAACTTACCGCCAAAGTGGTTGCAAAAACTGAAAAGAGATAAATAAATAATAGTTAATAATTAAAAACTTAATTTCAAATACGTAAAGAATATATATTACAAGAAATACGAAAATATAAATTTATTTGGTTTGAAAAATAATACTGCGAGAAATGAGTCCACAACTAAGAACGAGGTAAGCTTCACATAGATAAATGTAATAAATTTTAATATTTGGTAAATTGACTAAATTTTGGATTTTTGAAACCTGAAACCTGAAACATTTTGAAGTAGCAAACTTTTTTTTAAACTGGAAAATCCTAAAAAAATTTTGAACATTGAAAATCTTTGAAATTGGAAGTTTTTGGTAAAAATTATGTAAATATTATTCGGGAATTTCGAAATTTTCGGAAAAAAAAATTAAAAAAAAAAAAAATACGTAAATTTAAAAATTTACGAAAATTTAAATCTTAAAACATTTAAAAAATTTTAAATATTTGAAATTATATATAAATTTTTTTTTTGAAAATTCGAAGTTTTTAAAATTCAAAATTGAAATTTTGAAATTTTCGAGAATTTTTATCAACATGTTTTTTTAAAAATTTTAAAATTTTCGAAAAAAAATGAAACTTAAAAATTTCCGAAAATTTAAATATATTGAATATTTGAAAATTTATTTCATATTGCAAATTATTTACATAAGCAATTTTATTGAAAATTAAAGTTTGACAATTTTACTTTACATTTGCTGACCAAAAAGTTTTGTTAAGTGAACGGGATCAAAATGAAAATTTGTAAGTTGAAAACAGCTGAGTGCAGACTGAATTATAAAACAAATTCGGGTATTCAGCAATAATTGCTAAGTGGGAATATTATTGCTATAATTACCTACGTTTCTTCCCGATTTTTATGAAAGATACATTGTCTATGAAATATAATCCGATTAGAACTTCAACGAAGATTTAAGATTTAGGATTTAAAAACATTTTGATTGTGAAAAATTAAAAAAAAAATATAAGAAATTTGAAAATTTGCAATTTTTCTAAAGAAAAAAATTATTTTATGAACTTTTTGAAATTTGGAAATTTTTGGATTTTTCGGAAGTTATAAACTTTTGGAAACTGAAAATTTTTATTTTGAAAATATATTTACATTGAAAATTTTTGCTGAGAAGATTGTAGCAGATCATGCAGATGTCGGTCATTAAAATAGGCTCTAATGCTTTCTAAAATAAGTATAAGCTATATGACTCAGTCTACAATTTATTAAGTTTGTGAAATGGTGTTTATATTAGTTTTTCTTATGTCACTATTATTTACAAATATTTTCTCTTTTTCGCTCTTTCCTGCTCAGTGTCTTCGCTGCACTTTTGCTGCTGATTTGCCACTTGACAGCGGCGCAAGTGCCCTTTCCACGCAGTTGTCCAGAAGTAAAAGTGCCTTCCGACTTTAACGCCGATGCTGTGAGTTAATTGTTTGAAAATTCAATGAGAAAATATTTTAAATATTTTTATTTATAGTACATGGGCACTTGGTATGAGTACGCCAAATATCCGCACATCTTTGAGATCGCTAAGCGTTGTATGTTTGCACGTTACACCAACAAAGGCAACAATACAATCGGTGTGGTGAATACATCGATTAATACAATGTAAGTTTGATAAAATTAATAATTATATAAATAAATACATGCATTAATTATAATATATTAAGGGTTATGTATGGGTTACTTAATAGTAAAGAATTATTGTACTCTGGTCATACCATTCGAGACTCGATTTTAGCTGAAATTTAGTCTTAAGGAATTAATGGTTTAAAAATTTATGGGATATGAAATTTTATATAATTCGACAATACATTCAAATAAACAAAATTTTTTAAAATGATTTTTATTATTTTTCTGTAATTCTTAAATGTTTTAAAGTTTACCTAAAAGATATTTTTTGGCTTCATAAGTATTTAATTTTAGAAAATACTATATACATATATATATGAGAATTTCGTTTTTAACAAAAAATGTACATATATTATTTATAGTACTGGCCACACAACAAATACCACTGGAGTTGCACGTCTGCTTGCCCCATCTCAGATAAATGTGCTTTTCAGCAAATATCGTAAGTATATTTTAATTCCTTTTTTTTAATCATATCACTTCATATTACAAGTATGAGTAATTTTCTTAATAATTTATATTTTTCCATTTTACATAATTTCCAGCAAACGCCGTTGATATACCGAATTATATTGTGCTGGGCACTGATTACAAATCGTACAGTGTGGTCTACAGTTGCACTAATCTCACCTCATTCGCGCATACAAGTAAGTGATAGAGATAAAATATAAACATTTTTTTATTGGAAATTTAATAAATTGAAAGTTTTAATTTTATTGGAAATTTAAAATTAGTACTAATTAAAATTGAGATTATTGAATTTTGAAATTGAAAATTTTTAAATTTGAAAATTTTAATAATTGAAAATTATTGAATTTGGAATTAAAATTTGTTAAGTTAAACATATTTGAAAATTTTAAAATTTTCAAAACTCGAAAATTATGAGATTTGTAAATTTGTGAAACTAAGAATATTTGGAAATTGAAAGTTGGTGAAATTCGTAAATTTTGAAATTGAAAATTTTAGTAATTTGAAACTTTTGAAATAAAATATCAGGAAATTTGGAGACTTTACTATTCAAAAGTGAAAATCGAAGAAAAGTAATTGAGAAATATTTTTAAGTAAAATAGAAATTTTATTTATACTAAAATAGAAAATATTTAAGCTTAATATAAAAGAATTAAATTAATAGTCGCGTAAAACATTTAAATTATTTTGGTTATGTATAATATACACAAATATATATTTAACAATATGCATTTGCTTTCTAAAAATGTCTACTCTTCTACTCAGCTTCAAATAATTATTTCGAAATCTTCAGCAAACACACTTCCAACTATAACAGAATATACAAGGCTCCAGTTATATTGTGTAAATACATACATATGTATCGTACCTACTATATAAATATATTAAACAATTGCTGCTTAGACCAAAGAAATCACAACCGCTAATCATTTAGCTTTAGCAAACAAAAAAACAATTACTA